CAGCATGCACTGTGTTTGACCAAAGACAGCCCCTCAGTTGTTATCTGTGCTGGGTGGTGAGGAGGAGAGAGGATGGAGAGGAGGGGAGGAGATAAAAATGAAGATGAGGGGACAGGAGAGAAGATGGAAGGAGGCTGGTGAGGTCAGATGAGAAAAATGGAGAAGGGAAGGGAGAGAGTAAAGGGTGGGGGAAGTGAGGAGAGAAGGTGAGGTGAGGAGACGAGAGGGAGATAATGGAGGGTGGTGGAGGATGAAGGCCAGGGGGAGAGGAGAGGGGATAAGAAAGGAGAGGAAAGAAAATCTAATGAAAGGAAAGGAGAGAAGGGAAGAAAACCAAAGAGAGGAGGGCAGAGGAAGGATGCCGGAGTGGAGTAGAGAACAAGGGAGAAGGACAAAGAGGAGGAGAAAAGAGAGATAAGAAAATGGAAGAGGGGAAAAGGGAGAGGGCAGGAGAGGAAAAGACAAGGGAGGGAGGGGGAGGAGGTGGAGAGAAAGTCTAGGAAAGGAAGGGGAAGCAGAGGAGAAAGAAAAGTAGAAGGGAGCAGAGTGGGTGAGAAGTAGGAGAGGAGAATAAAGGAAAAGAAAGGAAAGCGGATATGAAGAAACAGGGAAGAGAAGAGAGGAGATGAAAATGAGAAAAGAAGATAGCAGGGGTGAGGTGAGGAGATGGGAGGAAAGGAAAGGAAAGGGGAGGAGAGGAAGAGAATAAAAGGGGAGGAGAAAGACAAGGAAAGAAAAGGGGAGAGCAACATTTAAGAAAGGATAGTAAGGTAAGGTAGGAGATATAAAGGAGAAAAGGAAGGAAAGATGAGAAAGTAGGAAACAGGGCAGGTGGGAAAGGAAAGGAGAAAAGACCAGAGTGACAAAATTGGAGAAAGAGAGGGGGAGACAGTGCCGTAGGAGAGGTTGAGCGGGCCTGGACTCCCCACTGAGGAGTGATGCGATGGTAATCTCTCAGCTGGAACATCTGGTCCAGCCCTGAACAATGGCTCCTGCAGGCAGATCGCAGCGATCCGGGCCGGCTCTCTCAGTCCCGCGGAGATGGCCCGATAACCCACCTCCACAGGTCTGACTCCGCAGGTCAACGCCATGCCGATCAACAAAGACGTACCTTGTCTGCAGACACACCGGGTCACAGTTAATAAACCTGCTCCTATGTGGTCTGATGGGAAAAGGAGGAAGCTGGTCAGATAGGAGCTCCTGTGTTCAAGGTGATGAGTGAAACCCTCCCCCCCCCAACATTCCTCAGAGATCCTCCTCTCGTTAATGTGACATTCACTCTGAAGATGAGCTGTTAATCGAGTGTTATTTTACATTTGTGTCATAGTCCAAGTGCTGCCCTACAAATCAGTTTAATAGCCTGACTGTGTGTGTGTGTGTGTGTGTGTGTGTGTGTGTGTGTGTGTGTGTGTGTGTAAAGTAACTGTAGATGCACAGTTGTAAGATGAGTTATGCCTCCTCTCTTCTTTAGGTTTAAGATGCCTTGGAGATCAGATCAAGGACATGAAATGTCTCATGCAAATCCACTGAAGGACATCGTGATCATGAAGTCCTTAAGATTGAAGAAATTCCAGATGGTGCTCAAGTGAAGGACGACATCACAGGAGACTATATGGCTCATGAATGTCAGCAACTCTGATTAAAAGCTATTCCGCCTGGGAGGGGAAAAAAACTGCTGGCTTTGCCTTTCATGCTCATTTATCATATGGGATTGTTTGTATACAGTTGTTTTATTCTCCCGGAGTGTGTGTGTGTGTGTGTGTGTGTGTGTGTGTGTGTGTGTGAGTGAGAGAGAGAGATGAGATGAATGTAATTAAAGTTTTTTAATTAGACGCTGTTCTTTTCTGGGAAGCCTGTGGCAGCGCTGGGTGGAGCCAGAGTGGAGACAGGAGGTTTGTGGTCTGGCCGAGGGAACCACGCCGGCCGGGGTAATGGAAACCGGGTGTTCACTGTACACATATACACATATACATGCAAACACACACTCAGTGTACACATGCACTCGCGCCCACACACACACATAAACCGAAAGGCTGAAGAAGAGAATAAACACACACAGAAAGCCGCATAAAGTTATGCAGGCATGAATCTGAATGCACAGCCCCCACAATGCTAATGTATGCACCACACACACACACACACTCAAATACATACATTCATTCATGTGACTACCTGCATTATAGAATTCAGCCTGCTGACACGTAAATTCCCTAAATACTGATGATGTGTGCATTTGCATGCACATACACGCATGCAAGCTCATGCATACATAAAAACAAATAAGGACTGACACACACACACACACACACACACACACACACACACACACACACACACACAATACTGATGCACAATCCCCACACACAGGCACGGATGAGTACACGCAGGGAGGCACATGCATGAATGCACACTCCCTCGTTGGTTGTCACTCACTCACGGATGTGCGTGCACACACAGAGGACTCATTATAGATGCATATAGCAGCACACAAACATATGAACACTCTGCTGCACGCACGTCCACATACATGAATAAACACTCACGCTCTCCACCGAGCCCCCCCCCGCACTCCACCCCAACTCCCCCCAGTCATTACAAATGCGTACACACGCACATGTGCGTGCACACACATATAAATGCGCTTAGGCACATGCTTGAGCACACACGTACAAACTCACAATAAGCCCTCATCACTCAAATCCCTTGGCACGCACACACACCAATATAATTCATGAACACATTACATTTAAAACCTCTCTACAAGTACACACTCTCTCTCTCTCTCACACACACACACACACACACACACAGTCACGATACCAAAAGGCACACACATACACACCCAGCACCACTCAGTTCAACAATACGATACAAAATGCATCATTCACTGGCATTAATGTACTCTCACACACACTCACACACACTCTCACACAACACACACACACACACACACACACACACACACACACACACACACACACACACACACACACACACACACACACACACACACACACGCCAGGAAATGCAGAAAACAGATCTCGGGCATCTCCTGACATCAGTGTGAGGCAAGGCCACGCCTTTTCCATTCGACACTGACGTCAGTTTTCCACAAAACTCTTTCACCCTAAATTACAGGCGATCAAACTCTTCCTCTGTTGACAGTTAAGAATAGATCCATCTGAGTTACATGCAAGCAAACAGGCCCCCCACTCTGGAGGATGTTCTCCCTCCCGGCTGCGTGGACAAACTGTCACGAATAGGTACAGTAGTGTCTCCGTCCGACTGTCAATGCAAACAGAGCGGGGACTGTGAAACCCTGGTACTGCACTGGCCTCCCTCCAACCACCAGAGTCAGATGTATGTAAATATATGGAAAACACTGAGGTGTGAGGGCGCATACATTTCACACAGTCACCATGTGTGCCTGTCAGCGAGCTCAGCTTCCACTAACTTTTATCCATCTGTGCTATCTGCGTCTTCAGTCTTTCTTTTTAAGTCCTGGACAGGCAACAGAGAGCGGGTCAAATTGGACAGCAACAGGTCAATCACTATGAACAGGGCACCATCTAGTGTTACATGCAGAGTATGAGAGAGTATATATATGAGTGAGTGAGAGAGAGAGAGAGAGAGAGAGAGAGATGCTGAGGAGTTCTTCCCTTCATAATCAAACACAGCCATGTTGGGCGTGCGTCTGCCGGCTTTATGTCGAGTGCAAAGTGTTTTTGCTCTCATTAAACACTCGGGAGGCTGAGTGGTTAACTTCACGTCAAACTATTGAGCTGAACCAGAGCTGCACAGACCCAAAGAAGGTGCAGGAGACTTCGGGGATGGGGTGGGGTGGGTAGAGTTGGGGGGGGGGTTGGCAGCAGATGTGATTGTTTGCATAGTCCGGGTTTATAAACAAACCAAATCCTGAGGCTCTGCTGCATCTCTGGATGAGGACAGTTTGAGCCTGAACTGAAGACTCATTATTCCAAGCAGTCATTTTCATTATCGATTACTTTCTCTTATTAATCAACGATTCATACTCAATGTTGGGAAATGCCGATCACAAGTTCTGGAAAGTCGAGGCGAAGTCTTCAAACTGCTTGTTTTGTCCAAACAATAAAACCTGAAGATGTTCAGTGTGGACTCACATACGACACAGAAAATCTTAATTATCACTCCATCGACTATTAGACATATTCCTGTTATTATCAGAGCTGCAACAAGTCATCAATTAACTGATTAGTCAACTGAAGACTATATTTCAAGAAAAAAAGCAAAAATTTCTGTCAAATGTGAGGTTTTGCTGCTTCCCTCTGATTTAAAGCTCTGTAATCTCTTCAGGTTTTTCATGGTCAGTTGGACAAAACAAAACATTTGAAGACCTTCACCTTGGGATCTGTGAAAGCGGGATAATATTTTCTGACATTTTACAGACCAGAATGAACAAACAGAATCATTAGTTTCCTAGTTAATACATTGTCGTCCCAGGTAACACCTCTGTTGTGATCATGTGGAAACCAAACCAAATACAGCAGCTTTACACGCAGCACGTCTCTAAAAAGCGTCACTATTTTACTTCTCAACACTCCTCGGACCTCGGACGAGTTACAGGAACTCTTAAAACATTTTTGTTCTGCATCGACAGCATTGTTATGGTCTAACCCACATGTCACACGGTAGATGATTTCGTGCTTAAAGATGGAAAATGATGGGTAAAGTGAAACTCATTTTTTTTTTTCACTCCAACCATACAGTAACAAACCCACATGCCTCAACATCTGACCGTTCTAACCAATGTGGCCGCTGCAGAGAGACTTTGATATCTTTAACTGCCGCTGGAAACACCGCCAAAACACACGTGTTGTTTTATAAACTTTGTTCCGAATGCTCAACATCGTAGGGTTTGATATCCGAAACCGAGTGCTGAGGTTGATCTGGGTGTGGCACTGATACCCCTCCACGGTAAAACCGAGTTCTCTACAACAAAAACCAAACGTTGCAAAAAACAATAAAACACAGCAGATGGTGTTTATTGTCAAAGTGTAGGAGTAGGACAATGTTATATGTGCATATTTCATTATTGTGTACTCTAATTGTGCAACAAACTAAGCTACAGTATATACAGACATCTATCATTAACTGTTGATAGCTGGATGACAGTTATACTGTATAACAGTAAATCTAGTTGGCCGATTGCTTGGGCAGGACAGCCTTTAGAGACAATCCGTCGAAGGCCCAAGACTTTGGTATCATCTGCATCAAATGCAAAATGGTGACTCTTACTCTTACAGTGTAATATCAATCAATACAACTAAACACATCCATTTAAAAACATCCACATGAATATACTCAATGCAACAAATGTTATGCAGAAAAATCTTTTTTTCTCCCTCAACCCACCCCCGCCCTCACCGCCGCCGCCCCCCCTCCCCCCCAGACTCTGTTTCTCACATTTTTATCTCCATAAAATTCAGTAAAGGTTAAACAAACATTTAAATGTTACATATCCCATAAAAGTAAAAGAGAATAATGTTATGAGAACCCCCAGTCTAGATAGCGATAACGATGCTTTGTGAAAAATATATGTATAGTAGAGTGAACTAAACATTTACATGATTTTACAGGTGGAAAGAAAAACATTGTTTTTTTTGACATAACTCTTTAGAATAATAATACAGCCCCACAGTCTTATGAACATGCTATGATCTCTTTGTTACTCACTCCGATCATTGTCCGTGTGACGTCAGGCCGCCAGCCTGTCACAGGGTTGTGGTTGTGTCAGTGTGTGTTCATGTGTGTGTGTTATTTTATTTATTTTTTAAGTGACTGCCGTTGATGTGTGTGTGTGTGTGTGTCTGTGTGTCAGAGTGTGGTTTTTGGTGTGTTTACAGGCTCAACAGTCCCCTGAGTTGTGCGAATGTGGCCCGGTCTCCATTTTCCAGTCTCTCTGGTCGGTGGCTTCCGCCTGGCCGTGCTGGGAGGCGGCGGGGGACAGGGACATCTGTCTGCGAGGGTTGCCGCTGTGCATGGTGTTCCAGTGGCGCTTCAGATCCGACGCTTTGATGAAGGCCTTGTCGCAGGAGCCGCAGTTGAATGGCCGCTCGCCCCGGTGCTGCCGTTCGTGGTCTTTCAGGTGGGACTTGTGTTTGAAAGCCTTTTCGCACATTTGGCAGGCGAAGGGCCTCTCGTTGCTGTGGACCCTCTCGTGCCTCTTCAGGTCGGGGCCCCTGATGAAGGCCTTGCCGCACACCACGCAGCGGTGAGGCTTGAAGCCGGAGTGGATCTTCAGGTGCTCCTTGAGGTGTGCGGCGGTGGTGAAGGCTTTCGGGCAGTGCTCGCAGCCGTAGGGGCGGTTGGCGGTGAGCAGCCGCTCCTTTTTGGCGTTGTGGTCCATGGGCTTGGCGCCCGTGCTCTGGCAGGAGCCGTGGTCGCGGTGGCCGTACAGCAGGTACTCCAGCTTCATGTCGCTGGAGGAGGAGGAGCCCCAGCCGTGGCTGTGGGGATCCTTGCTCATGTTGGTGTTGTAGTTGTGCGGCTGAGACACGTGGGAACCCCCGGGCCCCATACTATCCATTCCCTGATCGTAGAAGCTGTTCTTCCTCACCTCCTCCATGGCCAGCTCCTTCAGGATGGCGTCCTGAGCGCGCATCCCGTGGTCCCCGGGAGCCTGGTTCTCCCGGGTCTTCATGTTGGTCAGCTCGCGTTTCTGCGTGCACAGGTTATCCAGGAAGTTGATCCCCAGGATCTGGCCGGATGACATCATCATATTGATGTCCTTCTTCCTCACGGCGAGCCTGGCTGTGTACATGTAATTCAACACCTCTTCGAAGATGTCGGAGCGGATGAAGTCCAGCTCCACGATGGAGTTGTCCTCGTCGCTCTGCTTCTTGAAGAGCTTTTTGAAGTAGTTGCTGCAGGCCGCGAGGACGCAGCGGTGAGCCCTGAACTCTATGTTCTCCACCACCACCACCACATCACAGTGCTCACCTTCCATCCTCTGTTGGTTGAGCATCTTCAGGAAGGTGGCTTTATGGTCATAGTCGATATATCTCAATAAATCAGACATGTTGCAGGTCAAAGTGGAACAACCTGCAGAGGGAAACACAAAACAAATGCTCAAGTATTTTCATCCCACAACTAAATTTAAGCCATGAATACAACCGGCTCAGCTGAGGGGTGGAGCTTTATTTGCATGCTGCTTATAGCGATATACACATTCACACATTATTACGGGACTAACACGCAACCTACAGCACGTGTGTGCACAGGTGAGCGTCAAAAAACTGCAGAGTAAACAAAAGTAGCTAAATCAATCATGCAGAAATCCTTCAGGGAAAAAAAAAAACAACGACAGGCCGCGGCTGCAATAAAAGCCGCAGTAATGCTAATCAAAAAAACACAGAACCGCTCACAGGAACAAACACACGCACTTTTCTCAACTTAAATCGAGCGTTTTTGCCGCTCAGTTCGCCTGACAGTCCGCGCTGGACAACCGGAGCAAGAATATTTCACATTTCACTGCGCCCAGCCATTTTGGTCAGCAAGCCTCCATTGGCATGTTTCTGGTGTTCTTTAAAGCAGTTCACAAACAGCGAGAGAGGGAGAGAGGGAGAGAACACGGCGGCGAACACGGGCGGAAAAATAAAACCGCGCACAAACGCGGCGGCGGCTTTTATTTCTCTGCGCCGTCCGGAAGCGACAAAGAGGGAGGAAGAAAATTAAAAGTGTTTAATACCCGAAGCCTGAACGCGATCCCTGTGTTGTCACGCAAGGCAGTCGACGACGATCCAGAGCTGTCGTTTTTCCTCTTCCTCCTCTTGTTGTGACTGCTGGGGCTCTACAGGAAATGTCGCGTCGCTCTGCCGCCCCCTACAGCACCGGAGCCGGTACTCCACCAAGATCGTCTATGTGCGAGAGGGAGGGCTCACTCCGTCTGCTCCTCAGGGGACCCTGTTTATAAATAATACGTGTATTTTACTGAAAGTCGTCACATTTGGATCACTTGCATTAACTATTTACTTCGTGTATGTAAAGTAAAAGATATGTTACATTAATTAATAGTGTTTATTCCAGCACACACCTGCTTATGTGGAATATGTTTAGATTTACATTTACTTTGTATATAGGCTCTTATTATTTTATTTTCTATTTTCCATTTTCTATTTTTATTTTTTAACCACCTTTTTATTCTGTATATTGTGTTAGATATTGTATATAAGTACTATTCTTTAACGTTGTGTGAGTACAATTTGTTTGTAACAACTGTAACAAAGTAACAAAGTATTTCTGACTAAAAAACTAAAAACTAAACATATACAGTTTAATTTTAGTTTAGTTCACACCATTGTACTTGTACATTGCATATAGTGTATATATTTTTCATTTATAGTTTTATATTTTCTATCATACTTTGTAATATTCTTATTTGTGATAAGATTGTATTTGTACACAGTACTCTTTTTATTGCACTATATTCTCCAGTGCTGCTGTGTGTAACTTGAATTTCTCCTATGGGGATTAATAAACGTATATCTTATCTTATATCTTATCTTATTCTGATGTCTGGTGCATTTGTTCATTACATGCATGTTAATACATGTGTGTATGTGCCTTAAGTGTTTGTAATTTAACATTTGTTTATGTATTTGTTTGATTTTGAATTATTTTTATTACTTTTTTTTGTCACAGGTTGGATTCGAACCCTGGTTCCAGCCTCAGTACATGAGGCGTCATCTCTAGAATACAGGCTCCCCTATTTTTTATCACAGTTATTATGTATGTACACACACATACTTTATTGATTTAGTTCATGTTTAATTGATTCATTATTATGCGTTATTATGAGTGAGTTATTACAATGAAAACCTTTTAAGCTAAGATCAATAAAAGCAAAATAAAGAGGTGTTTAGGTCGGAGGCAGGTTTGCAGATGCTAAATGACACCGACCCTGGTTCCGTCTGGAAGAGGCTAAAACAGATAAACATAAATTTAAAGCCCCCTCAGCTCCATTAACGACTGGCAAACAGAGTGAGGAGTTCTGCTGTCACTTTCTAAAGACAATGGGACAGTCCTGACCCCATCCTCTGTGACTCCATCCTCCAGCTCCACTTCTCAGCAGGAGCCCCTCATCCTGACCTGCATCCTGGACCTCAACAGACCTTTCAGGAGGCAGAACCCCTGCAGACACAAACAAACTCTGCCACCTGCAGGTGGATTACTGACTTCTTGTCAGACAAGATGCAGCACGAGTGGCTGGGAAAACACGTCTCCGAATCCTCGGCCCCCGAGACCACCAGCACCAGATCCACCCCAAGGCTGCATCCTTTCTCCTCTACTCTTCTTCCTGTGCACCAACATCTGCCCCTCCATTAATCAGTCCTCCTATGACCTGAAGTTTGTGGATGACACCACCCTGACTGGACTCATCTCTGGTGGGGATGAGTCTACAGGAGGGAGACTGACTGTCTGGTGACCTGGTGCAGGCAGACCAACAAAGAGCTCTGAAGACAGCAGAGATGGTTGTGGACTTCAGGCACCATCATCAGACTGTATCATTTGCTCTGTTGAGGAGGCGATTGGCTGAAACCTGCCTTCCCATCCTGACTGCAGCTGGTCTCATCAACAAGAATATAATATTATCCTGTTGAAATGAGATATGTATAAATGGAAAACACAGTGTCTCTGACAATAGGATCAGCACATTTCACTGCACAGAGTTTCCAGTTCAGAAACATTTGGCATTAAAATCTGCTCTCCATCTAAATAATATATACATACATAAACTTAAATACAAAAAAATAAGATGTGAATATTTATATACAGACCACTGATGTTAGACTATTGCATCATAAACTAAATTTTTTTTGCACACCATTTTACTGCATATTGCATATAGTGTATATATTTTTAATTTATAGTCTTATATATTCTATTATATTTAGTTAATATTCTTATATTGTGATTCTTATTGTACTTATACACTCTGTACTCTTTGTACGACATTCCCCTATGCTGCTGTGTCTGACTTGAATTTCTTCTACAGGGGATCAATAAAGGTAAATCTTATTTTATCTTATCTTAAAAATATCAAGAGGACCTACCTGCTAGATTTCTTAGTATTTATTTAGCAAATAAATAACATGAAGTTCATGCATCTAACAGGTCCAAAGATTGACGCGCAAAAGAAAATAAGACAATTACTGTAAAATAAATGGTTAAAGTCTTTATTTTAAGCTGCCTTGAACAATACATAAATATTATTTACAGTAGAGACATATTGGTGACTTATACACACTGCATATGTCCTAAATGTGTTTAAATGATCAAAACAAACAGTTAATCTTCATTTTGTCCATTTAGTTTTCTAAGTAAGTAAAAAAAACTTGTGAGACTGTTTGTGGAATAAAGATTTTGGGAGATAAAAGATCTGTGAATTGAAACAGATCAATTGCTCGTCGTTTTTGTGCACCCAGCAACAGAAACAGAGTGACAGCTCTTACCTTTTTGTCTCTCTCTGACTCACACGCACGTACACAGCAGGAGGGGGCGGGGCTTCAGGAGCCTGAGCGTATTCAACGTAATTAATTACCTGAAGCAGCAAAAAGCCCGCAGCCGGAGGGTGTTTCTTTTAACCATAAATGAAGTGTTTAGAGCATTTGGATTAATGAATAATAGATCGACTGTCGTTTACAGATTACACCCCCCTTCACATTTATATATTTATTTCTATTTAAAGCTAAATTTAAACTTGAGGATTTTAATAATCACACGCTGCTCATTAGGTTATTTTAGAGCCTGAGGATATAAAATCTGTCTATTGCTCAGGTCTTCATAAAAATAAAAAGAAAAGGTTTTTATTTGTAGGTTTCTGTCATATGAACTCATTAAGATAATAATTTATATCTTATGTCACAAAAATGTAAACTCAGCGAAGCCCTTACCTGAATTATTTAACAGCTTTCTTGACAAAATGTGTGTAACACTTACTCAAAAGTGCTAAAAGACATCAATAATCAATCAATGGGTCCAATGGTGACACAGGTTTCAGGACTGTGGTAAACATTTTATTATTTGAGAAGAAAACAGCAAATTAAAACAAATGCATTTGCCACTTTTATTTCACCGTTTTGAGGAAAACATGGCTGTACACGAACAATACTCAGTTATTCAGATACAGTTGAAGGGAGGCAACAAGTTGACATGTTCAGGGCGGTGGTGGTGGTGGTGGGGGTTTTTTTCTTGACAGATCTCTCTTGGCTTTGCATCTAATTTGGGCAGAGCTCGGCAGTCTGAGCCCTTTGCCTCACAGTCACACGAACCTGGGACTTGTGCTGCAGCCGATCATCTACCCCGGGAAACATTCAAAGCCCGCACAGGCACATAAAAAACAAAACAATAAACAAAAACCTATTTGTTGCACAGAAATTTTGATTCATTGGCAATTTCGCCAAAATAGACCCTCTAAGAAGTGTTGAAGTGGTAGAATCAGTTGACGAGAAACAACAAAAATACTGAAATGATCATAAAAAGGAAAATGCAATTCAAGTAGACACGACAAAAAAAAACAAAAATCAATGCGAAAGATAATTTGTTATTCTCCTAGGAAAGCTTTGGATATGTACAGTACTGGGCTGTAGTGATTTCTGTAGTGGCATACCTGACGGAGAAAAATCATCGGGTTGTGTGGGGGAGTGGGTGAGGCAATGCTTGCTGGCAAATGAGGTTGGCACTTCTACAGCAAGGTTAAATAGTGTATGCTCCCTAACATATACAGCCTACAGCGATGTTTAAGTTTCTGGAGTGATGGCTTTATTTCATAAATAAAAACGTTGCTACAATAATTATTCTCAATAATCATAAAAATGCATCAAAGTCATAAGGCAGTGAAAGCAACAGGTCTGCTTGCTGCACACAGAGATTCGGCGTGCAGATGGGATCGAGAACCATATATATCTATTTTTAAATCGTACAGTTTTCAGTATAATCTTGCCGTTTTTTGTTTTGATAATGCAACATTGCGTCCTTCTCATGCAAAAAATGCATTTATTTGTTTTTGCAGGTGATGGGTTTTTTGCGACTAGCGGCGAGCTGCAGCATTTGGAGAGTAGGAGCCTTTCTAGTCTTCTGAGATTCCCCGGAGTAATATATGAGTTCTGGATGTTGGATTCTGGGAGGTTGAACAGAAAACAGCCCTCAAGTGTTACTCCTGGAAGAACAGAGGAGACAGCAGTTAGTACCATCCTGCATATTTCATCACATCTGAACCTTCAGTGCCACGGTGCACCCTGCCAAAAGACTAAAAATGAACCTCATAAAAAGGTCACGGCAGTTTTACCCCCATAAATAGATGCACCGAGGGACTACAGAGTTACAAAAAAAATGCACATAGATACACACACAGGCTTCTTGGGCACTTTCTGGCAATAGCTATTTTAAAAACAATGCTCTCCCAAAAATGAATACTTTACTATTCATTCTGAGTGTGACCACAAGCAATGAGTCAGAAAGGCTGCTGTCAAAAACTAAAGAACAAAAAAAAAACAATCATTCTCTGTAAACATGTGGTTTGAATTTTAATTTTAGTCCATCAAAATTAAAAACATGTCACACACACACCAAATCTGCTATCTTGCCTTCATCAAAGAGAGAGAGGGGGGAGATTGGGAGACATTGCTCCTTATAAAAGGGAGGCATTCATTTCTAAATTTGGCACTTTAAAGCATAAAAGGGTTAAATGAAGAATTAGACCTGAATCCATTTTGTCTTTTCAAATGCAGATGGTTTTTGAGGTTAGCTGGGGTTATTCATAAATGTTAAGTGTTGGAAGAGATTAGAATATACTGAATAATGAGGCTGAAAGAACACATTTATTGCTTTATAGTGAAAAAACTGATAAACACTTTCTGATGGGCAAAGATGAAATATTTTATTTGCTAAAGAATATTTTGAAAAGATGATCATAATATTATGCGTTCTGTGGTTATGGTTGTCCATATTTCATTTCAATTCAATATTCTTAGACGTGTGCTGGAAGCGGAGGCTGCAGCACCCCCTAAAATCTGGCATAATGAGAACCATTAGTTCATAAAAATGTTTAAACTTATGACTTTTACTGGGATTTATATGAACACACTGGAGGTTTTACTTTGTTTTTATCAGATTTATCCACTAAAAAGTTATAAAATATGTGTTAAATAATGTTAAAATTGTCAAACTGTCAATGCAAAAGCAATGAACGTCATGCATTTAGTATGATGTCATTATACAGACTCTCTCAGCACCCCGAACTCTGACTGACTTCCAGCGTCCCTGCTCTGAGAGCAATGATATTTAAGAAAAGGATATTGAGATTGTTCTTCTGTATGCATATGGTGATTATGCGTAACATGACAGTCTAAGAAAACCAGAAATAATCTCAGACGCCACTGAGATGAAGGCAAGGTGGCCGAAAACGTTTGCTGGAGCAGAGCTGTGAGATTTTAATTCTGAAGGACTTTAGTAACAAATTGTTGAATTTTAATTTTAAACGCTTTTTCCGGGACTGTATCTGCCCCGACACTCTGTGTGTATCTACCGTGGGAAAGAGACAAGCATCCAAAAGACCCGAGAAAAAAACCATTTAGTATCATGTTAATAAAGCTACCCAGAAGCACAGACGGTCTGACACACAGATATTAGACAGCACACTCACACACGCACATACAGGACTGAGGGCAAGGCTGCAGAAACAAAGCCAAGCATTCCCATCTGGTGAGTCACACAAGTACACACATGCACGCTTGCTCATCCCAAACCCTGCGCCTTGGGATCGTTTCAGTCAAAAGCTAGCGAAATAACAAAGTTCAGAGCCAAAAATTAGAATAAACCGGACAATTCCGGTTTACAGAGACAAGATGCTCGAGAGAGAAAGGTGGCGAGGTTATAACGACATGCTGTGGGTGCAATGGAATGAGAGGTATCCCTCACGCGGCTCCACACCTGAAATAATCCTCACAACACTGACTGCGGACAAGTTGAAACACAAATGGCTGCATTTGTGAAGTTTGTAGAAACGCTGTTAAAGGAGTGCTGACCTATTTTTTTTTCCCAGCAAACAGAAAGGAAGAGTGCAACTGAAAGGAGCAGTATGTCACAAATTGTTTCAAAACATAACGTGTCCTAGAAACACAGTTTGAAACATTTCAGGGATTCACCCCCATGCATGATCATTTCTCCCCGTAAAGACGGCCCAGTTAGGCTGCTGTGTGGTAGTAATGTATTATTATGGTTTGCTTTTTATGATGCATTAATGAGTAAACAATGATATGCAAATGCTTACACACATTTATTGACCTTTTATTTGCAGAATATTGTTGATACTAATGCTCAATCTGATCTTTTATTGTATACAAACTGTGTGTTTAATGCAGAAATTAATGTTTTTCTGCAAATATAATTTTGCTCTTTTATTTGTAATTTAAAGACATTGTCCAGTTATGGTTTATGACGTTTCTGGTAAGAAAAGAGTTGAAAATAAACACATCTAAGCACATCTGTGTTCACTCAAGATCAGATTTCAGTGGCTGTGGGTTGCAGCAACAGAAGCAGAAGCCAGTTCAGCCGGTCTTTAATGGCCCATCACTGCCGGTGTCCTTTGTGAGGGCTACACAATACAGACAAAACAATGTGTGCAGATAACAGAATATTGCATGCAGGTAAAACTATTCCAACATGTTTTCCACCTCATTTCATTATTGAGGAAGCAGTTTGACATGTTTTAGAAACTGTTAAGATCAGTGTTGCATTTTAGGTTTTTTTGTAAATGACAAATTACTTTAAATATAAGAGAAAGGTCTGTGTTAGATGTTTAGCACGCACAGCTTCCCTCTCTAATTAAAAAAAGGGATTGTGTTTCTTTCCAGCAGGGGGGAGTGTTGCAGTCAAATTACAAGAGATTGCATGAGACTGCCAGGAGCATTACTGTAAAGGTTTTTAAGCCTTGTCATTACGAGTTGAGACTATAATATCCGGTCTGTGTGCATGCACGCATCAGTCGACCTTTTCCCTGCAGGGGGAGTGGAGCTGAAATGACAACAGCATGATGCATTAGCTGTAAGTGCTACAGAAGCGGGGCTGTCTGTATCAGTGAGAAAAAAGTGCTGATGGGAAAGCAGCATGCCCAAGAATGGAGACCAGGTTGAAAAAGCTCAGTCCGACCAAATCAAAACCAGACTAAAAACGAACAGGGCTGGGACCAGGACTGGGACCTCATTGTCTTACCTGGGTCAGTCCTCCCCCTCCTCTGGCGTGATCTCTGTCTCTTTATGTACCACTACTTTGGTCACTGACATGTCAGGATGCTGTTCTTTAGCCTCCTTTATGGCCTGAGCCAGAGCCTATATACGGGAGTGCAGTGCCAGGAGGGATCACCAGGGGGAGACAAAAAATGGGGAAGGCAGGGAGGGAGCGGGGGATGTTGGATTGTGAGTCAATATGCCAACAGGGAAGCAACTTTTAGTTACATTTGTCATACTTCCAGTATTTGTTAAAGTCACATCAAGAGTTAATGTTTTGTTTAAAATGTCACATGCTAAGCCATTCTATATCATGTGTCTGTGCAATGCACGCAAAGTAAAAGTTAAGGTCTTGAGGGGTCTCTAAGGTCACTAACATTTCACTTTTTTCATGGTCAATTACTGACTCTACAGGCAAAGAAAAATCATGAGGATAGTGGAGAATAAATGAGAAACATGTGAGAGACCTCATCGTGGTCGATGTCTGCGTCTCCTGTGATGACGATCCTTTTCTCGATTCTTGTCTCTGATATTCCTCCTTTCACCGTCTGACAGAACAGAGAGGACTTTAAATCAATGCACACAAACTTATGTGGTTACAAACATAACCTCAAAGGTTCATCGAACTTAAAGTTTTTCATCATGTTATATTTTTATTTAAAAGTACCCTTATCAGTCAAAATCCTTAAATGGGCTGTGTGAAAGCTCCACATCTGCAACTCATCGATAATTCATTGTTTAAACTGTTTTTGTAAAGCAAAAACAAAAAAATTAACTTGTCCCAGATTCTAAAATATGAATTTGTATTAGTCTTCTATGATATTGGGTTTTGGACAGACACGACATTTTAAGATTGTTGATGAAGTATTTTTCAATATTTTCTGATGTCAGTAACAAAATAATTTCTGGTTATTCAAGATTTAATTAAAATAAAAACAACATGAGTCTGTGTTTCCTGAGTGTGTAATCAGGAACGTCTCTATACTACACAGATACGAAAACTTCCTTCCCCCACCCTTCACCTATTTTCATTGTCTAAATTCTGCAGTAAAGAAAGGCTAAAGCAAGCAGACACGTGTAGACTGGGGTCATGTTTGAGACTTCGAGTGTTAAGAGGCCAGAGGGACAATAGATGAACTCTGACCTTTGTGATGTGTGTGGTTGTCGTGGTGCTGGTGGTTTCCGAGGTGATGGTCTGAGCACTCAGCAACACCCCGGGGTCTACGTCACCATTAGTATCAACCTGTTAATGAGCAAAACCCATTTGAAATTACATTTTAGATTTGTGCTCTACCCACTACAACTGAATAATATTTGATTTATTCAGCACTATTAATCTGTGGCAGCCTTAAAGCTGCATTAACTGATCTTATGGCCACTTGTGGGAAGAGGAAATCTTCAACAAGCTGAAAACATCTGATATATTGTCTAATGGTGGTTGAGTTGGATAACAATTGCTTATTTACACAACTGGAAGACACTGAGCAACATAAACAGTCATTTACAGTAGAGAAGTCCAGTATTCACATATTTTTTAGCTTTATCTCCACAAACTCCTGGAAATAAATATTTGCCTTTTTATCTGCTAAAAGCTGCATTATGTTCTCCAGCTAACTGGTAACTACTTAGTGCAGTTTGGTCCTGGGCAGGTAACATACAGTGGGGTTATTAGGTGGGTGAAAACAGGGTTAATAGGAAAGCTCAGAGGCTAAAAGCTCTGTTGGCCTGAGGAAAACTTTCACACTATAAATACAGTAGTTATTTGATCCTTTCTTAATAAATTATTAGTGCAGCTTTAAAGCAGCTATAATCAATATTTTTTATATTATGTTTTATGTGTAATGTGAAAGGCTTAGGGTCCCTTGTAGTGATGAAAACAAGGCACGGACAAGGGGAGGTCAGACCTCCGCCAAGGACAACAAGTCTTCTATGATGTAAAAATACATACATTTTGTCTAATCTGTAAAAATCATATCACTGATTGTTCATTTTTACATACCTGCATTTGTTTCTAGAGTTATGTTAAAGGTGGCTGTTACGTTTTAGTCACGGCACATAGAGTCAATATTGGACTTGTGGACACAAACAGTCTAAATGAATACTAATGATAATAATTTATCTGCTGCATGTTTAAAAGAGTAACTATTGCTGATATGTTCCTCATGTCAAGGTGATAATACGTCAGTGTTGGGTTCATAGCTTGTTTCTGATGTCCGCAAGTGGCCATGAAATATCAGTATTTAGGACATTTTTAGAAGCAAATTACAGACAGACACTCTTCACAATAATCTCTCACATCTTTCAAAATGGTGCAAGACATAAAATGGAGGTAATACTAATTATTTTTCATATGTACCTCTGCAGACTCATAGGTGATAGTTTTTGTCTCTGTGTGGATCACAGGCGTCTCTTTGGTACCTGCCTCGACGGCATCAACACTCTAATGGACAAAAAGGATTAAATGGGAACAAATAAGTGCATGAAGAGGGAGAACAGCTGCACCAAAACCATCTGCGCTGTAGTTCAATTAGCTGCCATCTCTGAAACAAATTGCTGTAGGTGTTCACTTTTAACTGTACGTCTTTGTTCTTAAAATAGCTCCACGCTGTTGTACATAAAATCAAATTGACACAAATAAATGCCACATGCTAATAAACTAAGCAAAAGGCTGTCATTGAAGGGTTTAAATCTCTAAACGAGCATGCAGTCATGCATTAGAGTCCCTGATCCAGTGAAGGAGAGGATACTGAAGAATGCAAATCACAAGGTTTCGATCAAGTGTGTGCATCACATCACATTAAAAAGGTCCCCTGATCTGCTCAGCAACAAAGTGTGAAGTTAGCAAGTTGCGACTCATATCCATGCTTTTGGTTGAGGTTCGCCCTTGATTATTAGTGGCAGATTGTGTCGGCAGGAGGGGAGGTTGGAGGTGAGGTTACGGGGCCCAGGCCGAGGCCAGTGGAGCTGCTGCTGGGTTACCTCCGACTGAGACGCGGCTGGAGGTGGATGGGTGAGCGGGGCATCTGAGGTAAGAGGTTCAGTCTGGGTCACTTCATGCGGGCTGGACTTCTGGTCTTCTTCCTCTATTTCTCCTTCTTCCAATACTTCAGTTTGGACCATTTCTTCTGATGCCATAACATCTTCTCTCTCTGAAGCCTTTTCGTCAACACAGTCTTCTGCCAGTTCCGATTTCAGTTCTTCCTCATCATGCTCTTCCAGTTCTTCCCTCTTTCCATCTGCCTCTTCCTCCTCGGTTCTCTCCATTTCATCTTCTGAGCTGTCCATCTGTGCGTAGTAGTACTTCTCTTTTTCAAAGGGCAAAGGTTTCGAGATGTCTGGAAAGGCCTTTTGTCTTTCATCCTCTGCCGGTGAACATTCATCTCTCTCTTCATCCACCTCCTCAATACCATCTTCTAACTCTGTAGGAAACTCTTGTTCCTCAAAAAACTGCACTTCATTGGAAAACTGGACTCTCTTGCCATCTACTTCCGTGTGCTCTCTCTCCCCTGCATTTTCAAAACCTGCCAATTCCTCTTGCAAAGCCTCCAAACAAATCTCTGCTGCTTCCCCTTCTCTGTGTTCCTCCTCTGTTGAAGCCAGCTTCTCTTCCTTTTCACAATCTCTAATGTAAGCTGGAGCAACCATGAATCTGAAAGTATCGTTTTCGTCTTTTGAGGACAACGCTTCTGTCTCAACGCTTGCATCCTCTCCCTCCTCTTTTTCATTTTCTGCTGCTAAGATCAGCACTGAGGACTCTGACAAAGCACCGCTGTCAGACAGGCTTTCATCTAACCCTAAATTTGCCGCTAATGGCTGTTTTTCTTCTACCAGCTCCACAGATGCACACTGGTGAAGCTGCTCTGAAGATGGCGCAATGCCTGGAACACCATACTTTTCTGGTGCATCTCCTAAATCATCGCCACTATTATCATCTTGTAAGACAACTACATAATCTAGCCCCCCCTCTGCAGGCTCCGCTGACATTGTTTTGACTGTGTGCTCCCTTGCAGTGTGCACTGGCTCGGCCTTTGCAGCCTCTGTGGTCTGGATATTCACCGTTGGCCCTGTCGACTTTGCTGGCTCTGCCTCCGTCTCCGTGGCAACCACCGCTTTCTCCTCTGGTTCAGCTGATGTCTGTGAATGAAAATTGTACCATTAAATGATGCTTTTGCTTCATCATGACAAAAAAAAAAAAAAAAAAAAGGATCCACTCATTACAGGGCAGTTTTACATCACATCTGAGAGAGAAAGATGGTTATGTGGGTTATACATCTTCAGACTGTCACTGTGTAAAACCTGATAGATTCACATATAGCAGGTGGAAATATTTAGAAGACAATTAAGGTTCCAGTTACACCAAAACCATTACTGTGCTGTATTTTGAAATCTGGGAGGACCAGAGAGGAGTGGTCACCTTTCGAGAGGAAGAAACCCATCCCAGCGTAGACTGATGAGACAGAAGGATGGATGGACACAAGAACAGAGGGAAAGGAAAAGAGAGGACAGTCACAAGTCATAGTGAACACCAAAAAGAGCAAAGGGAGAGAGGGTGGAAAAATGAAAGGCTTGAAAAGTAAATGTTGTATGGATTGTATGGAATACCATTATGTAGCTCATTAAATCCGCTGAACCTAATGCCAAGTTGAACAAATCCTAAAACCTCAAACTAAAATCCGATTTTTAGAATCGCTGAATCCACCAGAAGCAAATTTTCAACTAATCTGCTTTTGGAAAACTGTTTAAGAACATTGAAATCTCTTTTTACAGTAGGTAGACCCATACAATTGTTTTCCTGACTCGTTACGGAGGCAGAAGGGGATTTTGGAGGATGAGGCTGGGAAAGCTGCAGCGGTGGCACTGAGCCAGGGCTATGAAGTCACCCCTTTCAGGGAACTGATAACAGAGCTGAAAGAAAAGAATGGTGCAGCTGAGCAAAACGGTAGAAAACCAACAAGAGTCAGCCAGAGCTCCCATGTCTTTCCTTATCAGCTATGGGAGCCAGCTGCTGAAGCAAGGGGAGCTGTTTTAGCTATCAACAAACTCAAAACAGTTGTATCAAAAAAAAAAAAAAAAAAAAGAAGAAGCAGCAGGCTTGATTGCAACAGAAACCTGTGGTTCAGCAAGTGTAACAGTAACCGGCGGGTGTTAAGGAGCCGTTAGCCATGCACAGCGCTCGATTACACTGTTAGACGGGTTTGGCTGCTGTTGGAGGGAAGGCAATGGGGTTCAGGGTGGTGGTGGAGATATGGAGGGAGGCAGCCAAAACCGAGTTGTTGCTTTTAGTATTCATACAGTACCACTTCTAAGGATGTAGTTGAAGATTCTGACACTGTGATCTGAGTCAGGCTGGACTTTGACGGCTCCATTTGGACCTCTTTAAAGGTGAAGATTTCTGTTTCCTGCTGCAGAGCGTCAGAAGTCTTCAACTCTTTCACTTCTTTTGTTGACACAGTGATGACCTCTGAAGCCTCGGTCTTCACCTCCTCAGAAATCCATGATGCCATGGCCTTTTTAGGCGAGTCAATACCTTTTATCTGAGTCACGTCATCAGTTTTTATCTCTATCTTCAGACTTGGTGTCTTGACTATTGTGGTTTTGGTTTCTATAATAACAGAAGGGTCTTCTGTAGTTTCAGACGTTTCATTCTCCTCAGCTTCGGCCTCTCCGGGGACTTCAGGCTCCTCTTTTTCTCCCACAGCATTTGTCTCTTCACTCTCTGTGTCTTCTCTATCCTCTGCCTCCTTCAAAATAATGAGCGTCCCTTTCTTGTCACTGATGGCCTGGGACACTTCCTGTCTGACAGCTCCGGGGCTGACCTTCACCAGCGACCGCTCTGACACCTCGTCCTGGGAGTCTGGAGTTTTCTCCTCTACTTCCCTGAGGGTCCCATCCATGAAGACATCATCGTCCATAGTGGTTGACAGACTAATCCCGTGCGGCCCTGAGGAGGTGGCCAAATCTGTAGCAATACTATCCACCACGTATTTCACCAGAAATCCTGTCGCCTGGGGAGACACTTGGCTTATTGGAAATGGATTGTTCAAAGTTAATAGACAGAGGGCATCACACAGCCAAGACGATGAGAATAAGCTCAAGAGACTATATATCTATCTAGAAATGACACATACACAGACTGAGCCCCATAAGTACTTGGACAAAGATGCAGTGTTTGGATGTAGTTTTGAACTTTTTCTGCACAGACATGGTAGAATTATAATCATAATAAAACTATGAAAGTGAAGAGTAATGCTTGAATTTCTATCAGCATTTGATTTCCGCGATACAATTCCCACACACAATTAATTTCCTATATTGGATCAATTTGATTTGATTAATATCAGATGTTGATTTTTAAAAAGGTAAGGGTCAAATTCAAATACTATAGGGTTTTGCTTTGAAAAACTGGACAATGAAGGACATCTAAAGGTTCAGTTTAAATATCAGAGTTAAGAAAAAGGACAGAAAAAGGAAATAAAGTGGAGAAACTGTACATGTGACAGAGTAAGAGCCGAAATACCAAAAACTGTGCCAGTGTCCAGATACGTACGTAGAAAGGGAACACCACACTCACAAAATAAAAGGTTTAACATGTGAAAAACAAAGTGGAAGCAGTTTACCTCAGTGGCTTTAGGTTGCACCTCTTCTTCTGTCTGTTCTCCTTCAGGCTGCTCATCGTCAGTCTAAAGAAGAAAGAAAGAACAATAATTAAAAAGGGCAGACCGATTGAAACGTCAAGAAAGAACATGTCCAGTGTGAGTGTTCAAATGGACATGATCCAGATCCCAAAGCTCTTCCAGAGAAGTCAGCTTCTTTTCATTTCAGTCAGACATGTTTGATGCCAGTGATTAGTCTTCAGAGACTTCAATTAGTGCCGCTCATTTGTCCTGTGTGAGTTCATCAGATTATGTTAAACAAGTAAAAGAGAAACGCTGATAAAACTGCTCCTAACTCACGCACGTAATGTCACTGAGCACAACAATCATATTACTGATTAACGACTGCACCATCCATTACCCAGACAAATTAATGTTAATCAACCGCTGATGAGATATAGTGAAGACATAAAGTGATAAACCAACTCCGAATGACTTTGCAGATTCATTTACTTCCATCAAGGTGCCCATATTCTCCTTTAAGAGACATTTGGAATATAAAATGTACTGCAGCAGACTCATTTTGATGTTGAAAATATGGCTCTAGCCCCATTATGAATATTGAATTTACTGCACTATGACTCATATTGCAAACACTCTTGAGATTGATGTCTTTGTTTTTACAAAAATCTCCTCGGTGATGTCATGCTTCACACACACATGCCGTCATTCAGTCTGCTGTAGATTGCAGCTTACATCCAGCGGCTCTATCATCGGTGCTTCATCCGCTCTGGGTGAGCGTGCGGGGGACGAGGAGAGTCTCTTCTCCCATTCGGTCAGGCCCGGCGTGCTGTCGCCTGTCTCCAGGAAGGAGCGCTTCAGTTCGCTGATGTTGGTCTGGTGCTTGACCATCTCTGCCGGAGACGTAGTGTCCTACAGTAGCCGGTCAACCATGATACAAGGAGATGAGGCCAGGAGCAGTACGGAGGGAACGACGGCCATGCTTTATGTACGCACCGGTAGCTTGCATATCCAACGAATTACCAAACAAACACATAAAATGCAGTTCTGAAAAGGTCTGGAATCCACCATTACAGACCTGAATCAACTGCATTATACGCTTCATTCCTTACGTTTACTGTTCACAGGCCTGTTCAGGAGGCTGTGCAGGCTACCTGTGCAACAACTCGCACAAATAGCAACAAAATAGCAAAAACAAAAGTCCACTCACATGGCAGCTGTAACTAAAAGGAGTAGCAGCTTGTACTTAAATGCTAAGGAAGCATTTAGGACCAGCTTATGAATGACAACAAATGGTTTCATGCATAGATTCACAGATCCAGTTTTACAGGGTTTCGTTAAGCACAACACTCCCAAATCTCATTAGTCCTCTATCTCCACAAACACCGACTTAATCCAGTTTAATTTCTGTTGGTTAACTTCTCACAAAAATCTATTTGGATGCTCACAGCAAGAAATCTGTTAGATAAAAATTTAGTAACTCCAGACAACAGAATCTCACACTGGCACAGCGACTGGTAGGTTAGATCTATTTGATAGCAGTTAGGAATCTTCATACAAAAAAAAAAAACTCCTGCATGCATATTTCAGTCATGCATTGTTTTCTTACCAACCTCTAGCATCAGATTACTATGCTTGATAAAAACGTTTTCCCCTTTTACTCGTCTTATGAAACTATACTGCAAAGACAAAAGAGGGGAGAGGAATTGTAGTTAAAAGGAGCTATGTTAAAGTTTTTTTTTTTTTTTTTTTTTTAGGAGAAATTGGGAGCTTTGTCTTGACATGGCTGTACATGACATGATGGCACTCACTGACAAGTCATGGTAAAAGCCATGGTTAGAAAAACCTTCAAGAAAAAACAAAACAAAAAACAGTGAGATCTGACTCGGGTGCAGAAGCGGGAAAAGAAATATGAACACGACTCCACCATTTACAAATAGAGGCACTTGAGAAATGAGCTGGAATGGCGTGTTTAAAAAAGGCAACAGCTTTGCAGCAGCAGTTGTTAAGAGAATTCAGGCAAGAGTGAATGGTCAGTCTGGTGTGAAGGGCGATAGTGAGTGTCAACAGAAGAGCAGGAGCAGGCAAGCCAAGGCGGAGAGACGGCACAAAGTGACTGATGGCGGATGTTTGAGCGGCTCAGTGCATCTGGTGGTGGTGATGGTGGTGGTGTGATGCACTGAGCAGGGCCATGAAGCGAGCCCAGTGTACCTGAGTCCGCATCTCAGAGTCCTCGTCGGCTTCCGACTGACAGCGAGTAAAGAGCAGAGGACAGAGAGTGTGAGACCAAGAGGAAAGGGATCATTAAAGAGAAGAGACACACAGAATTCAGGTGGGAGGAGAGAGAAGGTGAGCAACAAAAAGTGGCAAGCAGAGAGATAAGAGAAGGTAACGATGTTGGTTGAATTAAAAAAGTAAAGAATACTGTAACAGAAATTAAGCATTCGCTAAACCCCTGCTGAGAACAGCATTTGTCCAATCATAGCCTTAGAAACTGTAAGTGGGCCCGTCAAGCTTCTTATTCACATGTGGAAGTGGTGTGCATGGAGTTGTAACAGAAGTGATAAGGAATAGATTAAACAATGTGTCTGCTGTAACATATGCTACAACCATACCCTAGGATGTGCAGCTAATTAACTTCCAAAGGTAAGGAGTACACCATGAACTACATTAGTTTGTGGGGTGAGAAGTTACAAATAAACCCTGTTTAAAAGGTGTTGTCTTTATCCACTGTGTTTAAGCCAGTCCTGGATGCTATCAGAATTAAGACATAAGCAGTTCTGTCTTGCTCTTTAATGGCCACATCTTAAAACCCTTTATCTTTGAACATTAAAGTGACTAAGTGACAAGCTAAGTGGCTTGTCACTAAGGATTATGGATTATGTTAGAAAAAAAAGTTAGAGTTTGACCTTGCATTTTCCCTTTTAATACTTAACTAAAGCTGTATGTCCAAGGCAAACAGTGAGCATCCTTTTTTATTGTTAGTGTTTTAGCAAGATGTTATGTTTGTAGCCATCAACTGCATTGTTTCAGAAATTATTATTTAAAAAAAAAAAAAAGGTAAATATGCCTCCCTTATGGTTTTGAGCTGCATTCTGTGCCATGAGAGAATAAGAAGCTTGACAGGTTTAGCAACAGTAACTAAGGGGGCGAGGTTTAGTGAATGGTCTACAGAGAGCCGAAGTGAAACCAGAACTTCTGTTCCAGACGTAAGAAAATCTAATTTAAAATCTTATTAACATTTGTATTCATGCTAACAACTAAAAGATCCAGCCTTGGAACAGAGCCTCTCTCAACAGTGTCTTGTTTGGCTCGCTTTATATGTTTAGATAAGGGACTTCTATCGTAGCATTAAGAAGCTAGTCTGGACGTGAGGTCAGGACTTCGGCTCTCTATTGGAATGTAGTCAGTAGAAAAGACATATTTACATACATATAAAGTCTGTTTACAATACATACAAAGAGAAAAACAATAACTAAATGGGCGTGACAAGAAGATGTGATACATGCGTCACATGCACTAATTCTCTTATATCTTTCTTTTTTTACACCTATGATCATTTTATTTCTCTTCTCCGTCAGTACGTTTTTTTCATGCCTTAGATACGACGTCTTTCCTTGATGTACAAACCTCTGTGGCAGTCATCTCTCCATCAAAGGCAAAGTCAGTTTGTTCGCTGTCAGTCTGCTCTCACAAACAGACCAAAACCGTTCCGAGTGGCAAGCAAGAAAACGACAAGAACCCAACTTGTGAACCCTTGTAAATGCATTTACTGTCAACAGAGATTCTTCATAACCACAAATGGAACGAATGGAAATGCACTGGTTGTTTCTGTAAGCTACACATTATCAGACAACACTACAGATAAAAGTAGGAAAAGAACAACAACAACAAAAAAAAAAAAGCAAATAAAAAGTAAGCAAGCAAAACAGACTCAGAGGAAGTTTAAACCTTCGGTCAGTCACTTTGAAATGGAAGTGTAAATTTGCTTTGGATTTGGACAGGGCTCAATCCTGCTAAATATTAATTTAAATTCATTAAAGACCGGTAAAACCTTTGCTGTGTTGTTGCTGGTCAAACATTCAACACTTGATAACAAAAATCGGATTTGGCGATTTTGTTGCCTAACAGTAACCTGACTTTCAGGCCCTCCCCCCTCCTCTCCATGCATGTTGACACTAGGGGTGGTCTGGATGCATTTAACTGTCACAGTCTCTCTGCATTGCAGCATGCATACATTACATAACACCGATCATTTGAGATTCAAAATGGTGTTGCTTTAGGGGTAAAACAAATAAATCACGTTGGCACTATACAGTCAGTTGCTTTTAGTCCTTTTCAGCAGAAGTTTAATTTAAATTATTCATTTTAATTTGTGCTGCTTTGCTTGACTCAAGATAGAAATGCAGAGAGACTTGAGTGCATAGATAAAAATGGAAGTGTTTCCATGCAGCTGGTGTTGATCTTGTAGCAGTCTCTTTCTACACTGTTAAGCCATGAATGTGGATGATAACACTGAGATGGGTTAGGCACAAAACTAGGTTTTTAAATATGAGGTTTGGTGAAGGATTAGTGACTAAATGACGATAGGTGACTTCTTCAAATCCTCATTATCTCTAATAAACACGTTTCCACAGACACTGCAGCGTGACAGTGATACTATTTCATGGTAACTTGACGGATATGCTGCATAAAGCTTACGCACAAATATAGTAAATGTGTCAAAAAGTAGTCAAATATTTGTGTCTAACCATCTCATTAAGGTGTAAATACAAGCCAATCAAATATGAAATGGTAAGACTTGCAGGTTTCATCTCTGTGTACTTGTAATGTTGATGAGGATGTAGTCTACAGGATGAGAGTGTGATCGGGCAGAGATGAGGTTCTGAAAGCAGGAGAACTGACAGACACTGGGACAGACACAGTCTCCAGGTCGGCTCTGAACTGGTGAAACAGCAGAGCAAGATACAGGACAGGATAAGGGGTTAACCGTTATAATGAACTGTTACTCTAAACCAGAGGCCAGTACTGGAACATACAGGCGTACGCACACACACACCTCCTCTTCCTCTGAACTGTCATGGTCATGGTAGCCCTGGGCTATGGAGGCGGTCAGGGAGGCTGCCTTGGGCTCCAGGTAGCAGAGGCACAGCGCCAGGGGGAAGGAGAGGGTGAGGGCGTAAGGGACGGAGAAGGAAGTGGAGAGCAGGAAGAAGAAGATGAAGAGGAAGCACGGGATGAGTGACGGTGATTTAATGGGCAGGAAGTTCTGCGCGCACTCAGGGAGGAAGTGCATCTCTGACAGATCGGGGAAGGTGATGTAGCCGTCGTCATCCAGGAAGGAGGACAGGTCGGGCAGGTGCAGGGAGAAGGAGAAGAGCGTGCCGCCGCGGGGCTTGCCCTGCTCCAGCCTCTGCTTGCGGGCCGAGAGTAGCAGCACCTGCTCGTCCAACAGGGCGGCTTTGCGGTCGGCGAGGGCTTGCCGGCGGCGGCACCCAGCGCTGCTCTTGGCTGGACTGACTGACGAGGCCCGTTTACGCGTGTTCTCCCTGCGCCTCCGCCGTACTTTAGTCGATGAAACGGGAGATGAGGGGAGTGAGAGCTCAGAGCGGTGGGGGTCGGTTGTGTATACACGAGGGGAGCACTGATGGAGGGAAATGTCAACGAAAAAAGATGACGTGTGTGTGTAAATGGAGAGGAGCGAAAGGGAAAGGAGGGGCGAATACGCATGAACACACACACGAGTATAGTGTGGGGTCAAAGGAAGGACAAGAAAAGAAAAGCTAATTAGTAAAGCGCACACAAGATGAGAAGCACTTAGGCCTAGTCTACTGCAGTGGGTTAAGCTGAAAGAAACTGGGAGATTCTCATCAGCCATTAAGAAGTCTATTAAGAAAGAAAACAAACTAAAATCTCAAAAAAGGACTTAAAAAGACAAAAGCAGCTTCTAAGAAACATCAACTGTTTCTTTGACAATCTGGTGGTATATTTGTATATATTACCTCTCTTTGAAATACAACAATTCAAGCCTCTAGACAGTCCCCCTATCCAAATTAAATGCAGCTCTGACTGCACTGATCCCCATTGTAATGTGGTTTACCTTAGTGTCATGTCTGAGCGGTGTTGTGACAACGGGTTCTGGCGTCTCAACTGCGTCCATCTTGGCGTCCTCCTGCTCCGCCTTCTCTTCCTCTGCTTTCTTCTCCGTCGTAACCGTGGTGATGATGTCTCCCTTGGCGATGACTTTGGCTGCTCCGTCAGCGGCATTGTCCTTCATGAGAGTCTCATGGTTCTCCATAATGGGTGCTGGAGGACGGGAAGACAAAGATGAATGTGACGGGCTGGAATTGGTGACGTTTAATGGACACCATGGTTTGTTCTGAACTGCAGGGGAAAACTGTGTGGGTTTGATTTGCTCCTGCACATTGTTCTTATGATACCCATTGTGGCTTTGTCACTGCACTCTAAAAATGTGCAAGACATTTTATCTTTGCAGGCTTTCAGGTGGAAAGCACATTTTTCTTCCCTTTCAGAAGGAAGAAAAAGAGAAGAATACAGAAGAACAAAAACTAATTGGAACTTTTAATAAAAGGTTTATGTCATACTTTCTTGTCACATAATGTAGCAGTAGTGTCTTTTAGTGAGAAAGAGTTCTCCCCACAAATTCAGACATGCTAAATAATCATATCTAAACTTAGGGACATGCAAATTGACACAAAGTAGCTTCTAAAAATATCCCTAAACGAAATAAACTGGATTACTGAACACATTTCAACTTCAAAAGGCATTTCAACTTGGTAGGTAGCTGTAGCCGGTCATTAATCAAAACCGTCAACTTCTCACCTCCATCTAAGCTGCGGGACATGTTGTAGCGTTTGCTGGTGGAGCGTTCGAAGAACGGAGCAGGTCTGATGATCTGAGAGCTGGCCCTGCGGGTCTGAGCCTGCGTTCTGCCGCTGTAGCGAAACTTGGAGCCCAGGCTCAGGAACTTCTTCGGTGGTGCCTCGGGGGATACAAGCCTGTCACAGGTTACAAACACTCACATTAATCACACCAGAAATAAAGCACTTAATTTAAGCTATACGCTTTTCAAATGAGTAGGAGTTCCAATGTTTTACATTCTCCAGAGAGCCCTCAGGCTGGGCTTGCTACTCTAAAGAACTCAAGAGACCATTTTTTTTTGCTGAAAGCAGCACAAAACAACTTTACACACTGTCCAAATGGCAACAACTACTAACAGTCTGGACACAATTTCTATTTCACCACAAAGAAATCATCTACGGTAATTATCAGTACTCTCATGTTTACAAGGCTGGCATGACTGTGATCAATTAAAAACAAAAGATGTCAAAAACTTGAGAAAACAAAGTAATTTGTGTTGGTGAGTCCAACTCTGGACAAAATACTCTTTGCGGTCTTTGAATAATTACTTACAGCCAGAGACCATAAACCATAAACCAGAAATGTTAACGGGAAACAGGTCAACGTAACGGCATCTCAGTGAGGAAAACATTGCTGCTATATATAAAAAAATAACCGACCTACAGCAGTGTAAAAAGCTGTTTCCTATCACAGTCAAAGAGCCTCCATTTCTTACCTGAAGAAGGTGTGGTGCTCGACACAGACCTTCCAGAGCCTTTTGGCAGCGCGATGATTTGGAAGCTTGAAACCAATTGTGCTTTCAAACTGCTCAAACTGCAACAAGGACAAAATACTGTGGTCAGACTCCCTCTATAGGTAACTCTGACCTTGTTTATTCATTTATTTTGAATCCCTTTTACATGCATGTATGTTTATATGTTTATTTCTAACATTGAATCACATCTCAATATGAGTTATTTTTCCTATATTAAACAGCGGAACAAGGCCCACTAAGAACAGACAATCCTGTTTATTTATGATATGCATCATCACAGCATTTCCTTCATAAAATGTCAGTGAAGAGCGGGGTGTCAGTGTGGATCAGTGTGGGTCAGGAGATTTTAGACAGGAATAGGACAGGGTCTCTTAATCACAGAAAATTCTGACCTTCAGAAGCAATCTTTAGAGGCCAAACAAAGAATCAGATGGATCAGGCTTTGCAGCAGATACTTATCAAAATAAATGCCCCAATACTATCCAGCAGATCAGTTCTGGACATCCCTATAAATAAATGTGTTTTTTTTTTTTGTATCTGTAGCTGTTCTCACCTCGCCGGGACGGATTTTTATGTAGAAGTTGTTCCTCTTGTAGGAGATCTTGAGGATTTTGGGCCAAGCAAACCTGTTGATTCGCAATCTGTCTCTGTAGATGAGCAGGCCACTTGCACAGACTCCCAACATGATCTCAACGCCCTCAGAGTCCTGGGAACAACACACACCAAGAAGAACAGCAAAAGATTAGAAATTAGCTTAATGAAACACTTTTATAATGTGTCACTTTAGTATAGGATCCCTGACAATGTCAAAGAAGAAGCCACTGTCCACAACATTGCTCTTCTTTTTGTGTTTCTGCACAACATAAACTCTACAGGATATAGAGGTGGTTCAGGAGCCAGTGCACAGCAGGGTAAAGTAGAATTTAACAGTTTGTGATAATAACAGGGTAAAGCAGGCAGGTGGAGATTGGAATCAGGCATATGATACTCTTATCTTCTCTACGCAGGCTGTGGTGATGTTGACTCAAGGCGCACTGATTGGCAAAAGCAACAGTGAAGTCTTGGGAAATGGTGGATGAAGCACAAAATGATGCTCTTCACTGCACAAAGCATGAGATGAGCAGGTGAAACCAATGGTGACGTTTTGAGAGGGAAGCGCTGGTCCAAAGCAGGAACAATCAGTCTGAAGTAACAGTTGAAATGACCACTTTAGATGTAACCATGCAGAAATAAAAACCACACACACACACACGCAGGTAAGCACATGAGATGCAGCCTCTTACCTCTCCCTCAGCTGGAGCCAAGCATTCATAGAGACTCCCTACCAACTTCGCATTTAATGAGAGAGGAGAGAAGACATATATTTTTTCTTGTGTATCAGAACTGACTCACATATCCAACAGTGAGCAATTGATGTCTGCTCAGTTTGATCAAGGCCGCTTCCTCATCTCTGTCATCTTCTCCATTCTGATCTAAATCTGTGAATGCAATATCCTCTCCATCGCTCACATCTAGACCCATTTTGACTTTCAAAGCGCTTTTGATAACCGATTCATATCAAGAGCAATGACTGTAATTTTCTTTTATGATGACAGCCGTCCTGCCGCTGTAATCCAGCTCTCTCTTTACTGCCTGTGTTCTAATGACGTGTTTGATCCCATCTGGCCGGCGGATTAGAAACGGCAAGGAAAAATCATTCAAGTCAAGCTGGGCTCCAGACCCCACCGCCCTTCTATCCCTCCACCCTGCAGCCCCCAAATCCACAGACAGGCAGCGGTGACATAATGTCAGTAAATCAGCGAAACAGTGGTGGCATGTTAAACTGAGGCACTAACTGTGGCAGCCGTGATGTTTTTGAAGCAGCGGTGTGGTGGTGGCAAGCGTCACTATTCACTGCATGAGTGGAATGCGTTAAAAAGAATATAAAAATCCATATTAAAAACATTTCATTTGCAGATTTCCTAATGCATCTTGGAGACACCCTACATTACTACATTCTTGTAGACTGATTCAGTGAACTACTTAAAGGAATAGTTTGACCTTTTTGGGAATATTTACCTTCTTGCTGAGCGTTAAATATGAGGAATGATACCACTCTATGTCTTTACAGTAAAACTTACCAATTACCTTATGTCTCGTTTGTGCAAATCGTAAAAACAAAAAGGTTTTTCCCGGCAATCTCAAGAGACGTTGTCTACTGCTTGCAGACAAGAAACTGTCCAGCACATAACCCTCAGTAAAACCACAACTCATTGTTAGTATAACTTAGTGCTGGTAGGCGGATTGTCTCAGACAGAGCTAATCTAGATGATTTCCCTTGTGTCCACTATTTGTGCTAAATTAGGCTAACAACTTCTGACTGTAGCTTCATATTTAGCATACTGACATTAGAGTGGCATTGACCTTCTCATCTAACTATTAGCAAGAAAGTGAAAGAGCAGTCTCCAATTTCTAATTCATTTTCCAGTGGGCTTGGATGCAGTATACAGATAAATAATCCTTAAGATACTAAGTTTGACTTGTGAGAGACATTAAATTTGAGGAGGTAGAAGCTTTTAGTGACTTGTTACCTTAGCATGGTGGAGGTCCACACCGTACATGGACAGCTTCTTGGCATTTTCCAGGAAATGAATCTCTGCTTCGGCTGGTGTCATCCCCCTGATAGGTATAGATAGATAAGGTCAACAAGTATAGCAAAGAGAGATTTGATGCTTTCTGACCAATGTGAATATGCAATGCTTAAGATATAGTCCAGTAAGATATATAGTCCAGTAAGATCTAAAATCATCATTATTCACAATTTTATTGCATAAAAGCTTTTGGAAAATGGCTGTTTTTTTATGGATGCTTTTAACTGAAGCACAACCGACTACCATGAGTGCATCCATTTTTAGCATAGATGGTCTTTGGAGAGACTCTAATCCTTGCACTGTCATTGCCTCGTTCCATCCACAGCGCTAGAAAGGACCGCATCAAATTACCCACAAATCATTGTAATACAGGTAGAATGAAGGGCTCAGACAAAGGACAGCCAGCTACATCCATTTACAGGAAAACACAAATCCAATGTCTGGAGACATGCTGCCTTTCAGAGCAGATTATTATTATTCCAGGCTGTAAACATTCACCCAGTTTGACTGAGTGGCTTCAAGTTGTCAGATTCAGGGATTTAAGTTCCTAAATACGCATAATTCAAAATCAGCTTTATATCATGAGCAACAAGGTCCTATGTGATCTCAACATTTTGTGTTAAACCCCCCAATCCCTCACTTTCACCCAAATCTACAATATGTCCATTAATGAATTGATGCCAGAAATATTGTGAAAAAAAAGAAGTATGTATTGTAATTGACGTATCAAAATAAGATAGATCCCCTCCAGACATGTATTAAGACATAAAAGTTGTAACAATAATGTGTGTCTGATATGGGGTAAAATAGGGTACAATTTCCCCATTAAAATCCTTAAAAAGGCATCTACTCCTTCTGCCTCATTAAAATTCCCAAATCTATGAATATGCACATTTTTGTTAACATCTGAAGTTTTGCTGCTGGGCACAAGATGTCTCCTACTTCACTGTAAAGTCCATTCTCAGTGTATGTGCACTGGTGGCTTTATGCTTTTACATCACACTTGCATAAGTTGCAGAGTGGAGAAGGATGGACATCCAAACTATTCCTGATGTCACAAATCACACTCATAGGCCCCGCCCCTTAAAATCTGATTTTCAATGAGGACAGAGAAATTTTCCACTTTCAGCAGATGAATGTGAAAACATCCTTCAAATGTCAAACTCTGCACACATATCACAGAGGGGGCCTTGTCTGTCTCCTCTTAACGTCCAACCACCAAAATCCAGATGAAAGAAGCTCTGAGCTGATAAAAATGTTGATATGCCAATATATATATATATATATATATATATATACACATATACACATACATACATACATACATACATACATACATACACATATATATATATAACTGTATACTTTTGGACTATATTAAAAGCAGTACTTGGCAGATTAAAAAAATAGGAAATAATCCTGAGACTAACTTGTAGGTCTTGTGGAGCTCCATGACCTTCTCCTCTAGCTCTTTGGTCTGGTTGGGTGCGAAGCGCAGTTCGCTGATGTAGTCACTGCCTAATTCCTCTGGGTCGTAGTCTCCCAGCTCAGACTGCACTGTGTAGGAGCCCAGCACTGTGTGGGTGGCAAAGGAGCAGGGCAGACGGCCTGAAACCACATCGTCTCTCAGCTGCAGACACAGGTAGTACCTAAGACAGGAAAAAGAGACAGAAAAGCACAACACTCAAGTCACACTCATTTTATTTTTGTTATCAAATCCAATATCTGGATTTAGGTATCTGAATCAAAAAAATTAAACATTTATAAGAAGGGCTGATGACATTAAAGAATCAAATGTCCACCAACGATCACATAACAATTATTCTAAATTAACTGTTTTACTCACCTTGTGATATCCTCAGTCAGCTGGGAGGGGTCTGGAGGGTAAAACTTTACGTTGAAAGCGAAGTTCCAGGGACCAGCTGAGACGTAGAAAGAACATTAAATTATCAAAGCAGCCTGCAAACATTTTAATTGGCTGTTTGGGATAAAAAAAACACTCGAGTGGCTTTATTAGACTTACTCCTGATCTGCTTCTTCAGCTCCTTGGAAGGGTCGAGCCAATTCTGACAACATAAAACCACAGACACAAAGCATTAATTATCACCAGTTTGTGAGGAAATGACTTGGAACCAAAGTTCCCATAGTAACTCTTATAGAGATTAATCAAACATTAATCCATAACCGTACTCCATAAAACTGATTATTAGCATATCATACATTTTCCTTTACCTTCTGATTCTCTACATCTCTGTATGTGATGCCAAAGTAGTCCCTCTCCAGTAGATTGAGGTGTTCACACACTTTATCAAAAAGCACTTGGCCCTTGGCCCGTTTCTGTGAGGAAAAAACCAAACATATTCAACACTGGGTACAAGGGAAATAGTCAGCGTTATTACTTTTTTATGACCGAGAGGATTGTTTAAAAAGGATTATACCACCAAAACTAATAAGGGTGTTATTATGCCTTAAAAACTTGATTGTAAAACACAAACACGTTTGAATTGGACTGCCTGAGATTGAAGAAAAAGTGTTATGAGTGGCCATATATGTGAACCTATGCCTTATTCAACAATTATCAACATAAACTAAACAGCAACAACAAAATCTGACAATAAAGAAACAATAAAGAACACCAAATAAAACAAGAAAACATAACATACATAACATGCATACAACATTTTACAATCTCAGGCTGTGTAACGATGCCAGTGGATTACATTCCCCTTCTTGCCCTTCATTATCGTGAGATAATTTAACAAAAAATAACTCGGAACAGCAACATGAAATTTTTATTTTCAAGTACAAAACAGTATGATTATGCAACAGAGCAATGTGCTGCATCGCCAGCTGTTTTTTGTAATTCCTGCAGAGGCAAACACTCAAGTGGACCAACTGGGCCACTCTGGATCGATTCTTTCTATAAAAAGCACAACAGTATAAATACACCTTCGCATTCCTGAGCTCAAGGTGAACATCAGCTACGTGAACACTTAAAACCAAATCAATTGCACGTCTCTAGCTGAGTGCCAGGTGTCATCGGCTCACCCCCCACGGGGGGGTTGGACTTCACAGACTCATTTGGCCAGCTCACATGAGGTATTTTAAGGCCTCAAGTGCCACAACACAAGACGCCTCCTTCCTGTTCAGAGCCGAAGCCAGCTCCTTGCGTCTGGATTTACCAGAAACCGCTGGCAGAGCTTCCTCTAGCAGCAGGGGTCGTAGCAGTCCTATGCATCTGTCACATTCACACGTAGGCAGAGCACTGCACACGAATTACATTAAACAATATCTGGCTGGCAGGTATGTAATAGAAGGAGAAGCACTCTTTGGTGCGTTGGTAGAATTATACGAGCATCCGCCCACGTTCTTTCGTCACCTGAAGCATCCTTTTTATGGCGAGAACTCTGAGAACTGGAGTGACTATGCATGCTTTTAAACAGAGCCACAGAGATGCTGGTTGCAGAGAGTTAATCCTACCAGAACATCTTGGAGGGTATTAGCAGAGTTATGTCAGACGACTGCTGCCTTACTGTGACAGTGACACTTAACCCAAGCTTTACTGACAGAACCTACACACACACACACACACACACACACACACACACACACACACACACACACACACACACACACACACACACACACACACACACAAATGGCAACCCTCTGTTTACATTTTAGACACATAGTTGTCTAACAGACGGGCTACGGCAAACAGAAAATATGTTAGGAGTGCAGCAGAGGCAGCTGACAGATCTGGCTTGCATCCTGTCTTCCCTGGGGTTGTTAAGGAGAATAACAGAAGGAAATTAGAAGGAAAATTGATCTCAAATTAGGAAACAAACATCAATCTTGATCAATTTAAAGATATTATCTTTCTAATTTACAGGGAAAACAGCAGCAGAAGCTGGAGTGAGTTTGGAGATTCACAATGATTATATGAAGGAACTAGAACTTGCATCACCAAGCCAGTAAGTACAAGTAAGGCTGCAACTAACAATTATTTTCATTATTCATGAAGGCCGACCATTTTTTCCTTTTATCGATCAATTGTCTGGTCTGTATGTCAGGCAATACAGAAAATGCTTGTTGAAAAGTCTGGGAAACAGTCAAAAATCCAAAGCTTTTCAGTTTACATGATATAAAAACAGAGAAAAGAGCAAATCCTCACATTAGAAAAGCTGGACCTTACTATAACGATTAACTGAATAGTTGCAGATCAATTTTCCTGTCTATTGACTCACTGACTATAATTAAAAGACATCATTTAACATGTAGTCATGTACTTCAGAGGTAGAACAAATATGTGAATTGAAACTGAAGGGATAAAAAAAAAAAAAGAAGCCTAATATTTATAACAACACAGTGAGATGTGGGACTTTTTATCCCCCTCCACTGAGACACAACACCCTCTGAAGTGAAGTGGTAGAGGTTCAGCAGTTCTGTGTCAAGGAAATGATTGGAAACGATTAGTGCAGACATTTTTCCCACAGGAGGAAATTGAGTTGAGCTGAAAAGTACAAGGTCAGGGGGATAAAAATGTCAAATCTTGACATTCTGGACCGGTTTCAAAAGGGATTGGGAGGAGGAAGAGGATTCCCTGGCAATTATCCGAGAATCCTCTGACCTCAATTGTATAATCTGACGCAGCTCATGTCTGCTGTGTTTCACCCTCAGCTGTTGGGACACTTTCGTACAGTTGATTTGTGGAAGTTTTCAGGAAAGCACTCCCACTGGTCCCGATTGTGCCTCACTGGTTGCTTTGATAACTCCTCTGGTAAGTAAGGAATTAGGCATCTGTTTGTTCTCTCTTGCTTTTTATTGTAATGAATGTTAAAGAAGCCTCTTCAGTCAAGGTGTGGCCGATTGTATAAAATATACATGTGATGACATTACTGTGATTGTGAGTATTGTCTAAATACCAGCCTTCCCTAGGTGTGACTCACGCCTGCTGCTCCAATTAACACATTTGTACTATTGCTGTTTATAATAAAAAGGTACCAGATTCTGTCATGAGCTTATCGAGACTACCCAGCCAGTGATAGGAGAGGGATACTACAAAGGCTTGCTCAAGTGTCTTTGGGAAGCCTGATTTTATTCACATCTTCTGTAATCTATAATCTATTGTATGGAGTACCTCACTTTGGAATCACACCTCCTTTTCTTTTTTTAAAATCAACGTTTTAACCAACTACAGATCTTCTCACAGGATGGAAATTAGGGATATGTATAGTAAAATGACCAGTGACATCTTAATGACATTAATTTGGGTCAAGATATATAGAGAAAACTATAATAAAAAAAGAGTAAGATCTGTAGTTAGTCGCTAATAAAATGACTGGGGGCTGTGCAACAACTCTAAGTTTGAATGGTTAATTAAAAAATTCTTAAATATCTGAAAATAATCAAAATGAAATAATCCAAAATCAAAAGATATTCAATTGATTATGACATAAACAGAAAAGGAAGCAGCTGGAACTAGTAAATTTAAATGTTTTTACATGTTTGCTTAATAAATATTTAAAAAATGACTGTTGTCCATTCATTTCCTGATTATTAGTTTGTTCTACATTAGACAACATCCTAACAGACAAATAGTAAAGTGTGTGTGGGAGCTTCATGTACAGCTGTAGGTGTTTTTACAAGAGGAAAAACTTTAGAATATCTCAGGTTTTCTGGACAGATAACTCAACCTTTCCAGTTCATCTGCATTTTCTTTCTCTACTTGCTCCTCCTGCTCACATCCCCCCTCTGATGCACTCTAATCTGAGGTCAGCTCTAAGTATTCCCATCTATCGGGTGTTAGTGTTGGGACAAAGTGAGGTAGGCTGAGACTTATTCCAGGGAACCATCAACGCAGGCCGGAGATTACAGGCTATTAAACAGATGGGACATGGTTTATTCAATACTCTGCACTTGCTATTAGACACAAATACACACTGTAAACAGCAATGTTTACATTTCTTCAGTGTGTTTTAGTAAGTAGGTACACATTACCAGAGATTCCACTAGATTAAATAATAATTAGGAAGCGAGAGTATGAGATTCTTTAAAGTGAAATAATTACAGCCGCCCAAAAAGGCCAATTATTGATTTTCTGTTCATACAAATTGAAAGTATATTCACTCAGATAATTGAATAATCTAACTCCTAGATGAACAATAATAATCATTTTTGCGTTTTTCAATGGGTCATAATTTAGGCATAAGAGAACACTATTTATTCAGATTTAGTTGCTGTCTGGTGTTACCCCATCTATTAAAAAAAGGGCAATCCACCAATTTTACAAACAAAATTAGTTTACTTAATCATAAGGACTACTGCTTAGCCTGTGGAAATTGGGTTATAATGTCTGTGGCTCTGGAGGAGCTTCGTAAAGTCTGAACCTCACTATACCGGCTTTAATTTCCTGCATGATAGGAATTTTTCATATACTGCCACATCGGTGACTGTAACTCTTTCTTGCTTTAGAACATCTGAGAAATATTTCTTTGAATACTTTGAGTA